CAATTGGCACAGGACAGAGTGGAGTTTAGGGCTGTTGTACATAGGGTCGCTATGAGTCGCAGGCGACTCGACGGCACATAACAACAACAACAGAAACAAATACAGACACTGCGAAAACTGCTCCAAACCAGGAGACTGCAACTCAGACTCCAGGGCCTCTGAAGGGCGGTGTAGGTCAAGTTCCAACACGTCCTTAGGAGCCTTCCAATGTGGTGGAATCGTTGACAACATGACAGCTAGCTTCAGTTCCACCTCCAAATCAATATAAATTTCAGCATTCAAATGTGCCTGATGTCAGCCTTGAAACTTGGAGTTTACTCTGTCTCCACTATCGAAAATAGAGGTTGTTGAGTCTTCTCCAACCCAGCAAGAGCCACCAACTCCATCTCGAGAATGAACTGAGGAGGTTGTAACTCAATCACCAGTATATAATGAGGTGACAGTTCATTCTACAGATCAGGACCAAGCTCAGAATTCAAACTTACCTGATGTCATAGTTAGACCTACAGACCTGGGGCTTACCATAACTCCTCAATTCACCTCAACTGAACAGTCCACTGCCCTGCAGAAAACCACACCTCCTACAAAGCACAGTACAGTTCAGTCTTTGATCTAGAGCTTACCATAGCTCCAGAACACTTTATGGAGACTAAGCCTTCTACAATACTGCAGAGAACTGTATCTCTTCCACGGCAAGTTAGAGTGCAACTTGTGAATCCAGAGCTTACTATGACTCAGCAGCCAGCATCAACTGAGGCATTCCTTTCTTCCCCAGTGACTTAGCTATTCCTTCTTTTTAATTGTAGATCACATAGGGGACACATGATTCTTACTCTGCCACTGACACAGAGTGCCACCAACAGAAGTGATATTTACATATGTGAGCTTTGTGTCCTATACTTACCTTCACAGAGAGAAAAAGCTTCACAGAATGCCTGTCCCAGAGCCCAAATTATTTGATGGCCCCTTCATTACCCTGTAAGATTGTCTTTCCTCATTTATTCATCACATTCTTTTGACATGACAGCCCTTTCCCTTAAAGTCTTTCTGGCTTCCTCATTTTTCCACCTGATAGTGAACAACTTCCTTTTCTACCTTATTTTTTTTTTCAATATTTCTCATCATTCTTCTCTTTACTATTGTGACCACTTCTCCAGTCTGTTATTTTGATTGTCCTTATTAATTTCCTGTAGTTTCGGTTACATTTTAAAGAGAAAAAAGAATTCAATAATTAATCCTCATTTTGTTGTTGTGGTTCTTATGTGCCGTAGAGTCGCTTGCGACTCATAGCGACCCTCTGAACAACAGCCCTAAACTCTGCTCTGTCCTGTGCCAATCGCACTGTCCCTGACACTCCCATCCCAATTATCCTAGTCACTGAATTAATCCACTTCATAGAGGGCCTTCCTCTCCTGTGCTT